TAAATTCACTTAGCAAAATTATATTTGGACTGTTATTTTGGTAGAATATCATTCATATTAAAGTGTTAAAGTAATATTATTTCAATTTTAAATCACTTTTGTTTTTTTGACAAAAATTCAAATCAGCTTTTCGTACTTGCTAATTTTTACTGGCTGAAAATTTCCCAGCATGAATTTGCTACTTCCTCTCTAAACTACACTTCAAAATTGCGCCCTCTCGCTACTAATTTTAGTGAGTTTTTGGCTCAACGAACACGATTCAGTAAAGTTCAGTAAACATTTTTACAGCCCGTCTAGTCGCCGAACAGAACTATTTAAAAATTTAAAATATTTCTTAATGAGAATTAAAAAAAAAAACAAATATTGAAATTCATTAATTTGTCAAAAATGCCATTTATTAGCCAAGCCGACGAAGAGAACAGAAACATATTCAAAGACTTTTCTTTTCATTATGAAAATGCATGAATGCCATTGAACTTAACATAGTTTGAGTACAAATAACTTTCAACTTGTAAACAAATTCCTAAATGTGTATGTATGTAAATAAACATAAATTTTGATAAACCATATTATTGATTTAACAAAACAGCAAAGCTTGGAGTAACCCAGAACTACACGTCGTATACGTTACCATAAAAAACCTACTCCTGCTCGACATCAGTAAAATTCTTTGAATATATTTAAGAGCGGAAAATTACAAGAGTACAGAGTTCGTAAGGAGAGGTTGACAAGTTAAAATGGATTTGCACAGTGTTAATGGCAAAAATGAGGCATTGTTAAACTAAATCGAGGTATTACGTGCAAAGGCAAACTCGCCTATGAAACAAAGTCGAGAACAGTAACTGGCAATAATCGGCTATTTCGACATTATTATAAGTATTTTATAAATATATTTGTACTTGTGTCTGCTTCTACTCAGTGAATGAGTTCATGCTTAGTAGCAGGCTGCTGGTGAATTTGTGAAACGGATGGCTAATCAGTCAAAGTACAACACGAGCGGGAAGAATTCGATTGAAAGTGAGAGTTCAAAAGTACACAAAATTGTTTAAATACATATATACAAACCTTCATATATTTTAAATATAATTTAATTACGGACATTTTTACTAGAAATCTCAGTTACAGAGAGAAATTATGAAAACTTTAGTTAACGGCATTATAGCTAAAGGACACTTTAGAACCGAATTTAGTTAACTGCGTATTATTTTGAATTATTCGATAATTAACTTCAAATAGCCGGCTTTAACTGCATGTAACAGTGAGTATAACTTTTTTGAAGATTCGACAATTTAACTTTTTCAAATATAAAATGTGAGCGCCATTATATAATTTTGTATATTGAAAATGGAAAATGGACAATTGAAGTGGAAATAATTGTTATGAATACAGCGTTTTCCAATAAGAATTAGTTAATTTGATATTCTATCAAAAATTAAATTTTTTGAGGTATCAGGTGTACAACTTTGCTTCCGCCGTTTTTTCCAAAAATAAAAGCTTTATTGCGAAAAAGTGCTTACAGATATTTTATTCTAAGTAATGTCCTTCGCTAGAGACAACTTTCTCCCATCTTTCCTGCAATTTGCGGATCCCGGCTCGAAAAAAGGAGTCCTCTTTTGACGCTATCCATGAAGCAATCCATTTTTCCAATTCTTCGAAGGATTGAAAATGTTGATCTGCCAGGCCGTGTGCCATCGAACAGAATAGGTGGAAGTCAGAAGGGGCGACATCTGGGGAATACGGCGGGTGGGGCAAGACTTCCCATTTCAGCGTTTCCAGGAACTTTTTGACCACTTTTGCGACGTGTGGTCGATCATTGTCGTGTTGGAGGATAAAATTGTCATGTCGCTCTTGATATTGTGGCCGCTTTTCTTTTAGCACGCGACTAAGTCGCATCAGTTGCGTTCGGTAGCGATCTCCTGTCATGGTTTCACCCGGTTTTAAGAGCTCGTAGTAAATCACAAATCACACCGAGCTGATCCCACCAAATACAAATCATAACCTTGGCACCGTGAATATTCGAAATCACCATTTTTAAAACGTTGAAATCACTCCCGCACGTTCTTCTACTCAGAGCAGCATCACCGTAAGTTTCTGAGAGCATTCGATGCGCTTCAGCTGCATTTTTTCGAGCGAGAATAATACGAAAACAAGAACAACTGTCACTGAAACGGCGATGACAATTCGTTAGGCACTGTCCACACTCACTTTAAAGGCATTATCATGTATGTATTTCAACCACCCTCAGCCGGTACAGACACCTATCGGAAAACGGCAGAAGCAAAGTTGTACACCTGATAAATGGTCGGACGATTATTTCAATGTAAAGAGATCTGCCAATAATAATGGAAACCATTATCAGCGAAATGGCTGTCATGGCAACGCTTACAGGGCCGTATACTTTTTATGCACTTTTCCATCACCAAATCTTAAAGTGGATGCTGTATGCTCTCAATAGCCCCACGAATTCCATCTTTGAGGTCTGGAACCGACGTTAGCCTGTTGGCGTAGGTCTTATATTTCACGCGGTCTCACAGGAAGAAATCACAAAGTGTTAAATCAAAAGATCTCGTAGTCTAATTGTGATCCGAAATCTTTTTCCTAAGAATATCTATAGCTTCGTTGCTTGTGTGGCACGCAGCCACATATAAAACCTAACGTTGTTGAGATCAATACCATCCAATTCCGGACATAAAAAATCATTAATCATCTCTCGATAATGCAATCCATTGATCGTTATTGCTGCTCTAACCTCATTCTGCAGAAAGATAAAGGTTCAATGACCCCACTTGTCAGCTAACAGTTAAACCTTGAGAATGGAAAGACTTTTCAACAATAAATCTTGGGGTTTTCGAGTCCCAGAGGCGGCAGTTTTGCTTATTGGCGTAGCCATTTAGGCGTAAATGAGCTTCTGTTAATTTTCATGCATTTCGTGAAAACAATCAGCGAAGTCACGACGTTCTTGATGATTGGGGCCGGCTTGAGCTCTTGTGTTGACTGAACTTTATAAGCTTAAAGACCGAAGACTTTTAATAAAAAACGGTGTAATGCCGGAATGCACACTTCCAAGGAACGACATGAAATAGACAAACCTGGAGCAGCAATCTTCTCGGTTGCTCCTGAGCGATCTGTATGTCTTTTATTATTCACTTCACCAGCATGTTCCACCAATTTATGTATTGCGGCACCACAAGGTGCTTCACGACGAATGTCTACAATTATATCTTTAAAATTGACATCTACCGGAAATGCAGACTATTCAAAATAGCACCTCTTACTTGAAAGCCCATTATGTATGTAAAAATTGCATTTTAGTTTGTAAAGATTCGAAAAGTTAGCGACCGATTGGCCTGAAATTTCCTCACATCCTTTCTTTAGTTTCTGAAAAGGTTTACGTGAAAGTGGTAGGGGACCAGTGGACTACTACTCATTTCTCTGGGAAGTGGCTTAGAGGCCGAAAAATTGTTTTTGTGTTCCTTTTACCTGAAATTACGGGAATTGGATCGATCTCTTTGAAGAAGTATACATATCCATGGTTTGGGATGTGTTCAAATGGCACTATTTTGTTTTCTGGAAATGGGACAGCGAGTTCGATTTACTCGAAATATGAATAATACTTTCTTTGCGGGAAAGTGATCAGCGACAGTATAAGCAAAGATCTTGCGATGTATACGAGTATTCATTCGCATTTTTATTAGTCTGTGGTTGCGGGCTGCAAGTCATTCTTATATGTTCGAAATGAGAAAACGCCATTCCTACCTCTCGATGGCTACGTGAATAAGCAAAACTATCGCATCAAGGACTCGGGAAACCCAAGATTTATTTTTGGAAAGCCTCTACATCCTCAACGGCGCCATATTCCACACACGCAGCGAAACCATCGATCTCTTAGGGGAAAAGTTTCTTTGAATATCAAAATCTCACTTCGATTTTAACAGCGAGTGCGTGTAGTCGTACGCGTTCTTTTTTTAATATTTTATTAAAGAAGTACAGGCATATGCATACATACATAGATATTTTTGAAAGTGGATTTAAGTCTATAATATAAGTGTGTCTCACATAGAGAGATAATGAAGAGTTCAATGGGTCTTTAACCAGCTCCGACTTTTTACCGTCATTACCAAATACAACGTTCTCGGAACTCCAACTTAAAAGGCCAATACCAGCAATCAACACACAAAAAAATGTCGTTAAACGCGCTCCTGAAATACCCAGCCTCAAAATCAATATTGGTAATCAACAATAAATTGCTATCGTTAAAAAAAGAATGAAAAACTAAATAAGACGAGCACATCAAATTTGAATTGAATCGCCCCTGATCACAAGAAGAAGTTCGTTGCTTTTAACCATACTTAGAAGAACAAGCTGGCTGTATGAGAATTTCATATAATTGCCAAGAAACCGAATCACAAAAAAGAAAGAATATCAAAATAACATCTCTTATTGGAAAATCGTGCATTATATTGTATTATACAGGGTGTGCCACCTATGAACAAGATTTATTTAGGATGTACTTTGTCATTTATTTGGAATCGGGTTCAGAACACAACGTCGATTAAATGACCACCTTTTTTCGATACACAAAATGCAGCACTTTTTCGCGCATTCTGCTGAACATTGGTGAGCATTTCAGGCGTTATAGCAGCTATTTCGGATGGTATGTTACCTTTTAGTTCGTCGGTTGTATTTGGCTTGCTGTTTAAATAGCCAGTTAAATCTGGAGAACGAGTCGACCACTCCAAATCACCATTTTTCATGAAATATTTGATTTCAACGTGTTCTTTCAGTGTGATTGAATGACGTTTCCGAATCATGTACATTTGTCCAAATCGTCTGAAAACCGAAAGAGTTATTCGATGTTGAAATACCGAAGGTCTAGATGACGCACCCTGTATACTCGTATAGATACATATGTTTTGAAAAAATATGAAAAAATACCAAAGTTAATTATCGCACAATTCAAAATTAATATGTCATAACATTTTTTACAGTACATTGAATTCAATCGCTGGTATTGAAACACCATGGCAGAGTCAAATCAGAACGAACACGAATCAAACGAATCTGATGAGGATTGCGAGGTATATTGTAAGTAAAATTTATTAAATATCATCGTATCAATAATTTTTAATTAGATTGAAAAAATACTCGACATTTTCCTACAAAGAAAAAAATACCGATACTTATAGGATTTAATAATTAAATTATAGAATGGCTCCAATATTATAGAAAATTAATTTTAAATTTAAATAATTCCGGCTCCCATTCAGGTGTAGTATTTCCAAAATGAAATAAAAAGTTCCTAGTAACAATCCAGCCCTTACGAGGCGGCTTAAAATTAGCAGATGCTACCTCCATCTTATATATCTTATGTCCATTTTGAAAAATCTCCAAAAAACCGACAGATTGACTTAGAATTTTGTCATTTTGTTTCCATGATTCCTCGGAAGCGAAAAATATTTCGGGAAGTAGACCGTGGACTGATCTATTCGGAAAATACTCTTAAGTCCAAAGTGTTCTCCAGAAGAATCGGTAGGTAATTACCTTGAAAATTCGTAAAGATTGCTTCTATGATTCCTGATTTTACGAAAAAAAATCGGAAAGTGGACTAGCAACTGACCTATTCGAAGAAATCTTGTTTATAGTTCGATTTACTTGAAATTCGGTACACAGGTGTCTTTTTTGCTTAGATCATCGGGGAGTCTACACATCTCTCCGGAGAGTGGGCCTGAGACTGAACTTTTCGGGAAACGTTTATTTATGACTGGATTTACTTAAAACTCGGTACATAAGCGGCCTTTTGCTTAGATTAACAGGAAGACTCTTCTTCTCTGCGGGAAGTGGACCAATGTCAATAGTAAAACCAAAAATGTTGTATACCCACAAGTATTGAGTAAATAAAGTAATGATAAAAAGATATCCCATGATTAATTTTTCATTCATACACTGAGTATGTGCGACAGCGAAGCGTTGCAGGGTACAGCTAGTTTGTTATAAGAACATCAAAACAAATGTCATAAATTCGAGGAGGAGCTCAGCCGGAAGTCGTTTCAGCGTTTATGAAAGAACTGATTAAGCGCGCAGTTAATTGGACTTGTCAAGCTTATCAATGAGCTGGAGTCAACTGATATAACTGATATAGGGAACATGGCTTTATATTATATAATATTTGCAGTATTTATATGTAGATCATAGAAAATGCAAACGGCGCTAATGACCGTCATCGATGCACCCCCTGCGGGTTAGAGACTCAAGAATTTACTTGCGGTAAGGCATGCCTGTCGTAAGAGGCGACTAAAATCCAATAGCACCCGCGATAGTCGGGTCTTTATACCAGAACGACCCGGAATTTTTCCCCGCCCAGGGACTGTCACTCCCGCAACATTCCCCAAAAAGCACTTTGGGGAATAATTTTGCGGTTACCACAACAACAACAACCGTCACCGGTGTAGGCTCGAACCCATATCCATCCGCATGATAGAATGCATTGCTAACCACTCGGCAACTGTGGGATACATATGTGAGGTAATATATGCACTCAACTTCGTCGGATTTGATTGAATTCCTTATGGGTTTCAAAAATGAAGAAAAGCCTAATAACCCAGATTCTTTGAAAAAAAAATCTTATTAGAAATCGGCTGTAATATTTATTTCAATATGTATGTCTGTCCATTATTACAGTTCTTAAGCCGGTAAATGAGTACAACATCGTGGAAAAAATCAAAGAGGCCAATAAGGTGTTATTTGAAGAAACGACGACGATTGACGAGCAGCCAGCGTGCTCTGGACCATTTGATGCAGTCGGCGATTTGGGTACACGTAAAGTAACCTTTGCACCTAATTTGGAAACATACGAGCCAGATAATTCCCTATTAGAAACACTAAAGCTTACACGGGAATTTGAAGATGCAGTAGCCGAAGCCAAAGAACTCGATCGTAAGCTCACAGATATATGTAAATATCAAACGATTTTAGAAGAAACGACGCCGAACACGAATGAAGTCACAGACACCGAACTCGCCACTGTTGATACAAATGATAAAAGTGAAATATCAGACGCAGGTACGAGAGATTCAGCAGATACAGATACAGAGGAGGAAGTTACGCAAGTGTCAACAGTAGAGGTCAAAGAAGCAGCGGTGTCGGACGCTGACGATGAGGTTGTAGAAGAAATTTGTGAAGAAATCTCAGTTATGGATATGGAAAATGAAGAGCTGCAACCGCAGGTGAATAATGCGCAAATAGGCAATCAACGTCGTATGGTAAAACTACGTACATTTGATTGTGCGGAAGAGGACCCGCCTGAGGCCAATGATTCCGAGCAAGATAATAAAAGCATGGTTAATTTATTGACTTCCGATGGCGAGGAAGAGTGCTGCAGTGCTGCCACATTCGACATTAACGACTGTAACAGCGACCTCGATGTAGACGACATCGAAGCAGACTGTAGTCGTGTCAGCGAAGCGAATGGTGAAACAAATCCAGATGTGAACGACGATAACAACTCCATAAATGATACAACTACGGATGTCTATGACGACGACGATGAGGATGATGATCTCTCAATTATAGTGGCCTCATACCTCACCGACGATATTGGCCACAAACGTTTATATAGCAATCGTAACAAGCCGACAAACAAAGCACGCCGTTTACTTCCGCCCTTGAGTAAACGTTTTTCTTTACGTGGCAAGACGCTAGCGCGTAATGCCATTGGCACATGTGCAGATGGCACCGAAAAAGTCGCTCGTCGACCGCCGCATTTACCACCACCCGAGGTCACCGATTTGAAGCTGAACTATCGCACTTGCTGCGAATATCGCCGCCAGTTGACGCAAAACGAGAAACTGCCGAAATATACAGGATATCTGTCGGAATATGGTTTGAGTCGACAGCAGCTTGAGCTGCGCGAGGAGAGTTTACAGCGCAAACAACGGTTTGCTTTGCAGCAAACGTTAAAGGCAAACGAAACGGAGATGCGCAAAATGCATGACAACGAACGCGCCTTTACGACATGGCTGCGGAACAAAATGCGTTACCCCATCAATAAGACACGTAACATGTTCGATGTGAAACGACGAAGTTTAGATGCCGGATTCGGGGGCAGTATGGGAACGTGTGGCGGTAAAAGTGCAGTACGAAACGCTAGTGCTAAACGAACATGAACTAAAAGCATCTGAGTGCGGGCCGCTACAACAACAACAACAACAACAACAACAACAACAACATCTGTGTGCACCAGTGGTGGGACTGAAGAGAACTGGAGCACCTTAAATTGGGAGACCAAGAGGTAATCGTATGAATTTTCAAAAATGCACATTCACTGCAAAAATGAAATAAATGCCTTATACCAAATGTTGATTTAATTTAAGTCGTATTTTTTTATATTTTGAACAATATAGAGATAATAATATTTTGTTTTTATTAAAAGTATAAACACTTTGTTTGGAAACTTTGTAACTGTTAAAAAATAAGTTTCAACTGTGAATTAAAATTTAGAAAACTAAACCTAAATTTAAATTTAAATTACTTTAGGTATAAACATACATAGTATAAAGCTTTCAGCTGCAATTTTGAAAGAAGAGGTCCGCCCTCTTTTCCTGCTTTAAATGATATACAGCGCACTTCCGGTAAGGCGTCTTTTCGGCATGAGAGCGTATATATTCTGCATGTGCTTAAACTATCCTGACCATTTTCCAGAGGATTTCAGTAAATTTGGGGTCACGACCCAAAAGGCCAAAAAAATTAAATATCGTGAAAAAGGTGATATTGCCCAATAAATCAAAGAAAATGGACAGAATTCAGCTCCAGAAAAGTATCGAAGCCGTGCCGAGAATAACACCGCCCGACACGATTTTTAAGCCACGAGAAACAAAAAAAAATACCAGTGTCTGTATATTTCTATAGATCAAGTCGTTTTTGGTTTTTAGAGGTGATAATAACACCTAAATGAAAGTACCTCTTTTAAAAGTTATTAATAATTTATATACACTGGTATCCAGCGGTTTTTGGGGTAGCTGATTATGAATTTGAGTCAGATTTTTAAAGTACAAAACGGCGGATCTAATATGGTGGCCAAAATTCGTTCACCTCTAAAAACTAGAAACGCCTTGAACTAACAAAACCGCCAGACACGGATACTTCCTTTTTGGTCCTAGTTTTCGAAATTTTTCGATTTTTTCGTGGGTCAAAATAAAAGTTGATTTTTGTCGGACGCGAATTCTAATCGTTTCTCACGGTGTAATAAAACGACTTATAAGTGAACAAAACCGTGAGAAACGATAAGAATTTGCAAAGTAGTACGTAGATAAACATATTTCGACCAGATTGGGGAAACAATCCGAACATCCCCAAATGAAATTTATTACAATGAAAATTTTACAAATGTGGAATATTTGTTTTTATTCAAACTTATTTTAAATGTGTAATTTATAAGTTTCATTTTCTGTTTATGATTAAATTTACATTCTGAAGTAAAACTGGCTGTTTTCAAATACAAACAAAAATGGAAATTAATCAGACATGGACATGTAAACAAATATGTATGCAGTATTTTTCATTTATTAAAATTAGTCGTGCCGGGTAATGTATTTATACTGCGTACAACACTCAGTGGCGCGATTTCTTTGATTTATGGCCATGGTCTCGACTGTCATCCCGCGACCGTTTGTGGCTACTGCTGCTGCTGCTATGATGACTACTCTTATCCTTGCTCTTGTCTTTGTGCGACGATGATGAGGAATGATGCTTGTCGCGACTGCGATCATGATGCTTATCCTTTGAGCTATTATTGAAAAAAAAAAAAATTATAATAATAATAAATGTAAATAAAAGCTTACAGTAAAGAGTTAATACAAAATTATATATATTTTATTATTAATTATTTTTTTTTGTGTGTTAAGTGGGAAAATTGTGTGCGAAATTTTGATTTAGCGAGTTTTTAGGTAAAAACAGGTTCGCCAATTCGAAAGGTTTGCGTAACGGTTATTGGGAATGTTTTTGTGTAATTTGCATTTGGGATGAATTACAAACCTATGCCCGCTCGAGCTTGCATGCTTGGCAGATTTTGAATGTGATGAACTTGAAGTAGAAGCGGTATTTTTACTTTTTTTACTTTGCCGAAGCTGCACTTCACGATCTCTGCGACTGCAGCAAATTCAATTAGGCAAAATATAAAATTAATTATTTGTAAATATATATGTATATAAGAAATATACGTTTGCAATTTAGCTATGAAACTAACGAAATGCCATATGAAACAAAATCAAAATTCCATGAATAAAATAATAGTAATTTTAGCCTCAACTCAGACTAAAAATCAAAAATTAAAAACAACGATTGATTTGCTTACCTGTGTTTCGAGCTCTTCGAGTGTTTCTTTGAATCATAATGCTTGCCATTTGGCTTATCATCAGTATATTCTTGATTGCGATCTTCCTCAGCAGCTTCCCGCTCTAAATCAGACCAATCTTTACCAGATTCCTCGTCCGATCCAAGCTCTAAAATAATTTATTATACTTTTCATTTACATTTGTATACATATATAAAAGTTTAATTTGCTTGCCTTCACTATCGTCACTCTCATCCTCAGATGCCTCCGAGTACTCCGAGTCATCTTCATCGGATTCATCGAAAGACTCGATATCAGTGGGTTCGTATGCTTCATCCTCTTCGGATTCCTCCTCATCTTTTTCATCTTCACTTCCTGAGTCAGCATCTAAAAATGTCCAACCGCCCTGCTCAAAGAAACCCTCCGGGTCGTCTGTAATAGTTTTCATAATCTTTGCCCAATTCAAAGACTGAATACCTTCCGAATAACGTATATCACAAGAACTAAAAATTTAAATTGCATTTAAGAAAAATCTTCGAATAATTAAGAATTTTTATAATTCTTACTTCAGCCACTCTTTCACGTGATCCAGCAAATTCATTGGAATTGCATTGACCATCGCCACCTTCCTATTGTAATCTTTAAAAACAAAGATCATATCGAAATTGCGAAGATGAAATTGTACACGTTCGAAATGTACCAACTCTACATCATCCAGCGTAATCACAAATGGGGGCCATTCAGTGAGATTAACCAAACTGCCAGAGGTTGGTTGTAATGTTACTGTACTGCGGAAGGGTGCACCAGGGAAACCCAGTTCGCGGAATGGTGTGTCGAATTCGACTTGTTGCTTAGTCATCGACTCCACCTTCTCGCAGAAGCTCTTGAATGCTGTTTTTAATTTATGACGAAGTTCACGTTCTGCTTGTTCAGCTGCCAAATCATCACGATCATGCATATGCTGATGTTTACCCAAATCGGTTGTGATCTCACCAACCTCGGTATAGAATTGAACATCAAGATGCTTCTTCTTGCCAAACATAATGGCATGTTTCAAATGAAAGTGTAGCAAAATTATCATTTCACCATCACAGGGTTGAAAGAAAGCACTTTTTATATTGTTGTAAAGAATATCAACTTTATCGCCGCGAACTGATACGTAACGGAAACCATTTGTATGCGCTTCCAAACTACCGGTCATACGCTTGGTAACGATATTCGGGCGTATGTACAAATCTTTAAGTTTTGGATTACCCTTATTTTGCGATAGAATAAGGGTATCCTGTTTAACTAAATCCTCTTTTTCGCGTTCTTCCGCTTCGCGAGTCTTGAAGCGTTTCTGTACTTCTTTAATCAGGCGGAAAGTATTGTTCAAATTAGACGATGGGGCTGTTACCTCGCCGTGTTCCTTAACGTTTGAAGAACGATAAGTCCTAACAAAAAGAAGAAAATGTTTGTTAGTTTCATATTATTATATATATTGATTATTAAAACTCACACTTCTTTGAGGAATGTCGCCTCTGGTTGTGGATATAAACCACCCTCGTTGCGGCCCATTGTAGCGCCCGGGTGGAAGAAATTTATACGTAGGTACGTGTACTCTCCTTCCACAGACTGGGAAATATTTTTGATGGTGGATATATGAAATGGTACTGGTATGCCAAATATTGGCAAAATAACAGTTTCGTACTTTTTGTCCACATATAATTTCAATTCCTTAACTTCTGGTTCACGTGGCATCTGACTAACGGATTTATACGATACTGTGTTCTTCCGCACTTTCTCGACCTCCTTCGAATCGCCTTGTTTAGCCAAACGTTCGCGTGCTTTTTCATTCAGCAATTGAGCTAATTCTTTCTGATGCTGTTTGCGTTTTTCCTCAGTGTTAGTCTCTGTACGCAGTTTGTTTTCAAGCACTGCGTTACGTTTGCTTCGACCCAATATTTCGGAACCTTTATCTTCCTTCACTTCCTCCTTCTCATCGCCGTCTTCTTCTTCACTATCGTCTTTAATAAAAATTCCAATATTTTTTATTTTCTTCTTTGATGGCGTCATTATATTGGCCGGAGAGGTATCACCAACCAGCACAGTGTCGCCAACGAAGAGTGCGTATGTTTTGCCCTCTTTCTCAGATGCCTCCGAATTAGTGAGATTCGATATTCCTACGTTCACGTTAAATACCATATTTTTCTTAACTGTGGCTTGGCATTTTGGTCCAATTACTATTGAGTTTTCTCGAAATTCTATGCCCATAGCAAAACCAAATGTTTTGGTAAAACTATCGAACAATTTCGGTTTTTCCTTTTTAATATATTCAACAGTATTATCGTAAATTTCATTCAACTTAGCTCCAGGCTTCAAAAGTTTTAGTATTTCCTCTTGTACGTTAACAAGAAAATTATAATTTTCCTGCATTGTATCAGTTGGGTTAACCAAAAATGTGCGGGATATATTGGAACAGTAAAATTTGTAACGCGCACCCAAAGAGCAAACAATCGCACCGAAATGTAAGTAATTTTTGTCACTGAGCGCAGAGAACTTTAGGCTATAAGATCCACCAGATTGGATGATAGGCGTGTAGCACATTTCCAAAACAGCGGTATCCACACCAGATACGTATTTCTTATCGGTAAGCGCAGATTCAACACCTTCCGAAAGTTTAGCGTGTTTTATTTTCTGTAAATTTAAGCATTTAGTAGAGATAATTCCCTCATTTTGTAATTGAAAAAAATTTGATACCTTATCTGAATCAATGATGTCCATAATTTCATCTTTAAGATATTTATTAAATAAATCCACGGAAACAAGTGATGCTTTACGTATATTGTTTATTTCCGGCTCGTCTTTCGGACACATAATATACGCCAATGCTGCGCCAACATCTGCATTCTCAAAGTTCTCTCCTTTTAGAGCAGCTTTCCAAGAATCGCAGAATTCACTGGAAGAAACATCTTTAGCGAAAACTCCCAATATTTTACCTTTGTTTGAGGATTTCATCACTTCTTTTAACTTATCGAAGTTAGCTTTGTCTTTGTCATTCTGTAAAATATTACATAAATTACAGTTAATTTAATACGAATTAGATAATGATCGTTGTTCACTGATGTTTTACCCTGTCTCGCAACAATAATTTTATATCGGGTACACCTTCTTCTTTGCAATTTTCAATTTGTTTAAGAAATTCAATCTTTTTTTTGCTTGCTAAGAAATATACGGCATCTTTCGCAAATATAGATATCGTATCGGTGAGTTCATAGCCCAACAGCCATATTTCCAGCGCACGGGACTTCGAATAAACTATATCCTCATCAACTCCAACTACACACATGATGCAGTCCACTTTCTTTAAAGTATCATCATGAGCTATGGCGGGTTCCTGGCAAAAAAAATTATAATAATAAAACATTAAGAACTGGCAAAACAATAGTTATCTTTTTTATTATCTATCTGCATACATACATAGTATATAAACATACAATATTAATTAACATACATATTATATTGATTTGTAAAATTTCACCATATTTTTCCTGTATTTACTTACCCGCCACTCCGAATATAATCTTTTAATTCGGCGCAAAAACGTGTCTTTATCCAAAGCGTAATTAGACATTTTTGCAGCTGCTTATCCTACTGGCCGTTGACTATTCCACACGTTTGTTTGGTAGCAGGTAAAAAAAAACGAATACTGCGTAAACAAAAGTTGTGAAATTGTAAAGTTAATGTTAACTCAATGAACGAATTATTGTTTAAAAAATTAAACACGTTTTTATTTGATTATAACGCCAATTTGAGGGCCGATCTGAGGTAAAAATACCGGCAATTCTATGCAAAAATTCCTCCAGACAACTCGCGTCTGCCAAAAAATGGTTGTATGGAAAACAGCGGACCGGCGAATTCAAGAGTAGCGTGAAAAACGAATTCGTCGAGACAAAAAGGGTTGCATTTTGTAACATAATAAGACAATGGCACATAAAACAATTTTGCGCTACCTGACATGTCCAACTTTCAAAGCGTATAACGAGTTAGAAATCACACAATGAAAATGTTCATCTTCGAAGGGTATAAAAAATATTATTAAGAGGTTTCAGTTCAATTATATTAAATAATAAACTCTATTCCGTTCTAGTTTGTTAAAATGTTTAATAAAAAAACTAGAATCAACAGAAAATATTTTGCCATCATAACGCCAAAGGTATATATTAAAGATATTTTCGCGGTCATTGTTTTCTCACAAACTTCCTGGCATATGCCTTTTTGCACTTTTTTCTACATTTTTAGTGAAATCTAGACGGAAAATATGCTTATACATATTGTTTTTTTTTTTAATTAATAATACATAGTTAATCAGCAAAATGTTTGATTTCTCAAGCAACAAAATTAAGAGAGTGACAGTGAACTCAGAATACCAAATAGTAACAATATTTACTGAATGATAAATTTTAATACCATAGAGAATTTAATTATCTCGACAGAATATATATATATATATATATATATATATATATATATATATATATACGTGGAGCTTTAGAACATGTCATGAACAGTCATTCGTATTCGGCATATTGTTCTCCATATTTTAATTAATTAATTTAATTTTCCAACTGTTTTGCGTAGAATATAACCCAGTATGTATTTGTTGACGCAGTGGCAACATTATAAAACCTCTCTTCGCCGAGCATTTTATGGTTTCGCCGTGAGAAGTCTCGTTTATTGTTTAGTGTTTCAGTTCCTATTCGAATGAAAATTTTGCATCAACTATATCAACGAGGTTAATAAACATAAAGAAGAAAGTTTGTAATAAGTTGAATTTTTAACTTTATTAGTGAAGAGTACATCAAAAGCAGTAGCTTAAATACTGAAATGCAATCTCATAGCAAAAAACGTGTTTGCTACTATTATGACAGTAAGTTTTTGAAAGATTTCTACTTGCTTAGCTTTTGCTAGTGATAGCGATAATTATTTAAACATATTTTATAATCATTTGTAGAATTGCATTTTACTAGATTTATATAGAAAAGTGTGTTGTATGGAATTGTATTATACAAAGGCGACAGTGCGAAAACTTCTTGAATGTGAGTTGTTGCAAATCGGCAGTTTTGTACTGACTGTACGCTGGCGCTTATTTCTCAGCATACTTTTCACAATCGACCATAGGTAGTAAGCAAACTCCGTCGGCGATTGCACGTATGCTCCCAAATTTCGCCTTGTTGTATGTGTAAACTGCGGTCGTCTATCTAATTTAAGAAGTATGCTTTAGCACAGTCGTGGTAACACTCACTTTATACGTTAAATTTTACAAGTCAATAATGTTTTATACCTATGCATATGTTGTAAATGAATATTTAAAGTGTAACATTTTTTCGTAATGCTTTTTGAAGTCTTTTTGAACATGACAAAATTTGTGTAAAAAAAAACTAGCTAATTGAAACTAGCTATGACCGTCTTTCTGACTTTTTTTATCACAATTTATTGACACTAAGAATTCTATCATTTGTAAGAACTGCTCAAACCAAACCCAGTACTACACCAAGGAAGACGCACATCATTCGATTATTGACACTGAAAAAGTAACAAGATCAGAGAGCTATAAAAAGGGTTTCTCCTGTTTCAGATTGTTGATGCATGTTTTATATCTTTGGAAAGATAGTGTTACTTTCAATTTTTTTGTATGACGATATTATAATTGGAAAATATTATTAAATAATATATTATATATTTTATATATATTTTCAGGCGATATTGGAAATTATTACTATGGACAGGGTCACCCAATGAAACCTCATCGTATACGGATGACACACAATTTGCTCCTTAATTATGGCCTGTATCGTAAAATGGAAATCTATGTTAGTAGCATTGAAAATACGATAGACATATATAAGCTCTAATATGTATTGAATTAATAATTATTATTTTAGCGACCTCACAAAGCTACTGCAGATGAAATGACAAAATTTCACTCGGATGAGTATGTACGATTTTTGCGGTCTATTCGACCTGACAATATGTCAGAATATAATAAACAAATGCAGCGGTTCAATGTGGGTGAGGATTGTCCAGTTTTCGATGGACTTTACGAGTTCTGTCAATTATCTGCAGGAGGATCAGTAGCCGCTGCTGTCAAGCTAAATAAACAAGCTTCAGAGATCTGTATAAACTGGGGCGGTGGTCTTCATCACGCTAAGAAATCTGAGGCTTCAGGATTCTGTTATGTTAATGACATTGTCCTTGGAATTTTAGAACTTTTGAAATACCATCAGCGCGTATTATATATTGACATAGATGTACATCATGGTGACGGTGTGGAAGAAGCTTTTTACACTACCGATCGCGTGATGACAGTGAGCTTCCATAAATATGGCGAATATTTTCCTGGTACAGGAGACTTACGTGATATCGGTGCCGGTAAAGGCAAATATTATGCAGTAAATATTCCGCTCCGTGATGGAATGGACGATGAAGCATATGAATCAATTTTCGTACCCATTATATCAAAAGTGATGGAAACCTTTCAGCCAGCAGCTGTGGTTTTGCAATGTGGAGCCGATTCTTTAACAGGCGATCGTCTTGGCTGTTTCAATTTGACAGTAAAAGGACACGGAAAATGTGTGGAGTTTGTCAAGAAATACAATTTGCCGTTCTTAATGGTAGGAGGTGGTGGATATACTATTCGCAATGTATCGAGGTGTTGGACTTATGAAACCTCAGTTGCTCTAGGCGTTGAAATTGCAAATGAACTGCCGTACAATGATTATTTTGAATATTTCGGCCCTGATTTTAAACTACACATCAGCCCGAGTAATATGACCAACCAAAACACGTCTGAATATTTAGAAAAGATAAAAAATAGGTATTTAGATCTAAGTTTTTTACTTTGCAATTCAATATGAAAACTTTTGTATTGTTTCTAGATTATTTGAAAATCTTCGAATGTTGCCACATGCTCCTGGCGTTCAAATTCAGTCTATTCCGGAGGATGCTATTAATGATGAGTCCGAAGATGAGGACAAAGTCAACAAGGATGAAAGGATACCACAGAGTGACAAAGATAAACGAATAGATCCTGATAATGAATTCTCCGATTCAGAAGATGAAGGTGAAGGAGGTCGACGAGATAATCGTTCTTACAAAGGTCAACGGAAACGACCTCGTTTAGAAAAAGATGGAAAAACAACTGCAGAAAATTCCGATATCAAGGAAGAAAAGGAGAAAAGTAATGCATATATAAATACCTTTTATCTAAGGTAATTACTTACAAATATCTCAATATTTTCAGTGGATACAAATGAAAGTGAAGATGCAGTTAAAGCTGAAGACACAAAAAAAGAAAACAACATATGACGTGGCGGTCGCAATTGGTTATAGAAACCAATACACCGTTCAACGAAATTTAAACCGAAAATATATTAGCAACATAGCAACTTTTTCCATTTGTCTTACAAGTCATGACAGCGGTCAGTGTGAGAGGAACTCGTTGCTCAGGGATAGTAGATTTGAAAGACACGCTGTTGTTAAAAACTTCGGTTTTTAATAATAATATAGGATGTGTTATAATAAAATATTACTTGCTAAGATAATTACACTTCATACATAAATATGTACAATAGCGTTCCATGAGGGTTTTTTTGTTTCTGAATGTATTCAATTTGTGACATTATTCGCTGTACTTCCTTCAAATACAAAAGATACTGATATCAAATTTACGCTTATAAATAACGTAGCTTTTTTATATTGTCGTTGCTTTAACCGTAAACACTCTCTTAAAAAGTTCATTGTCACATAAAAGTATTATAAGAATGTAATTTTTTAATTTTTTTCTTTAGAAAATATAAGAATGCGACGTGCAAATAGTAAATAAAATTGCATGTAACTTGAATCATCTAAGGTCTAAATTTAAACTTGAGCAAATAAATTGGTGTTTTATATGTGGATATATTTTGTTTTCAATTAATCAATGATCCTTACATAAAAATTATATAAAAATTTGAACAAAAGATCGTTGGTCAGTCATGAATAATCAAGGTCAAAGAATATCGTACAGTATTATCTTAAATTAAATTGGAGGATCATCGTGGTTAATTTTAATAATCGGTTCAATTGGTGTCAGAAGTGGGTATGTTAATAAATCCCGAAAGATTAAGATTGAAAATGGTCCAGATTCTACACTTGAAGATTGGTGAGCTGAAGCGGTATATGTTGTGCAAATGGAAGAAAAGTGAAATTAGTGGAAGGCATCGATATGGAAGAAGAAGACTTCCAAGTTAAATTAAAGGGAAATTATGATACTGCTGATACAAGGAAAGGCTGATACAAGGAAAGGTAAATCAAAGGTTCAGCGTATTTAATCTCTTGAAATGTATATACTTGGCTGCAATTTGGAAATAAATGGAAGAACTGAATTTCATAAAAAACATGTGCAAAGGACGCTCAAATATGGGTTATTTGGTCACAGACCATGCAGTCGCATGGCATAAGGCATAAAGCAATGTGACTCCAAGGCAAAGTGAAAAGTGATTGATGGGCTTCTCCGGACCCTTTAGAAGAATTCAGGAATTTACTCTCCCAGGGCCAATACACCATTCTTCGATAGCAAGGTTGCTTTCCAAATTTTCAAGCAGCAAATTGGGTATACGTTTTCTAAGAGTAATTGAAGTGTTTAGGATAAAACTGGCTCCTGCAATTGAAGACTTCATTCACTTTATCCCTCAAATCAGGAGCAAGGCGAGCAATTCTACTGTTTGTGGTTATATTCATGCACAAAAGCGGGTGCTATGGGCGGGGTGGGTGTTGATATGGACGTCGATCACGATCTATAAATCAATCTGATCGGATCACCAAGATGTAATTCCATTACCTGGAGCCCGGTTGAGAACAGCTACTGGTGAGGATATCCAGGCACTACAGCATTTTCTACGCACCGGATTTATTCCGATCAACTACTGTGACCCTTCGGGGACCTAGCCCCGTTTAAGTCAACATACTGTTATACACGTAGCTTAAAGTCACTAAACTAAGTAATACTTCGCAGCAGGGTTGCTCCAAATCCTTCTGATCAGGGTTGACGTTGAACTCAATCCTGGTCCGATGGATTATTTCTGCTGGGTTGCTAAAAAGGACTCCACCATTCTTTCATTTCGGCAAACAGTGCAAGGGATGGAATCATTTTAAGAGCTGATCAGGCCTTCAGACACACAAAGAGTAGACCACGCTTTACGTGGCTCATGCTGCCAGTGTGAAGTGCAATTCTTGGTCTGGCTGGTGCCACTTTCGGACATGCTCTGTAGGTGGAGTGACCCATATGTTTCCTCATGCTGCAACTTATACTAACGTGCGTTATCTTATTAGCGGTGTATATAGCAGCAATACATAAACCCTATGACCTCCCTTAGAGAACGTACTACGAACGTTCTCACGAGCCAGACTAGAGCGGTACAATTTTACTACTGCGGACTCCAGGGAAAGATCGACAAGGTAGCCGACTTCATAAGCTGGGAGCATCTGCCAATAGCTACGATCCAAGAAACAAAGCTGCGCGGTCGCACGTCCGGTCGATCGCGCCTTGTCTGGGCAAACTGTCAAACATTGCCTAATACTACCCGACATGTGGAAAATTGGTAGAGTGGTCCCTTTAGTAAAACCGGAGAAACCCGCCAAACAGGCCTTCTTTTCCCAGTAGCAAGTGCTATTGACGCCTTGTTGCACCAGTCTTTCACACACTACCTAAGCACAGCAGCACATCAGCATTGCTTTCGAAAAGTGCACAGCGCCAAAACTGCAACAACCAAATAGTCCATAGCCTCAAACGAAATCGGTCCTGCGAGCGAACCGACCTAATTCCACTGGATCTGCCAATAGCTTTTGACACCGTCAATCAATTAGTGCTACTATAGGGCAATGACGACTCCTCATTACTGCTGGGGCTTAAGAGTTAGACCATTGGTCAGCATGGCTGATCGACTATCCCCGATCGAGTTTTGAGGTAAAACATTAAAACTCTATAAGATTAAGCAATGGATACCGCATGGAGATGACCTCCACCCACTTGGTTTAACTTGTACGTTTTGAAGGTCTTCCTTTCCTTTCTTCACTGCACGACATATACAGCTAAAACCTGGAAAGTCCTCGTCCACCCTTTTTATCAGCTGGATCAAGAAATACCGGCTCGAACTCGATGCGAAATTCGGCGGTGTAAAAATTCCGACAATCAACTATCCTAAATCACTGAGAGTCACATTCAACGGCCTGCACTCATTAACTCCGCATATTATTACAATTTCTTCCATACTTCAGAGCCGCAACAAATTAACGATGAATTGTAGCTTATGTAGGAAATCTTCTGATCCTAGGGATCACGAAACATCTATGCTACAAGTTAAGGAGTATAATGCTATGCTGTGCAAAGATTTCATTCAGCACAAGAACGGCTGAATAGTTCGGTGTACCGATATGCTTTAAATGCCATTCACCTAGAACACGTTAACACCTTCTAGAACTCTGTTCCATTAAACGGCGCTCTCGAACTCCAATCACCACTCATTGCAGATGAAGAGCTCGAGCTGCCTCCAGAGTTCCGAGTAATACTGGGTCGACTGAATTCTTACTTACCCTGCATACCTCTTAAAATCTCCGCATTTAAGCTCTATTTCTCTTTAGTCCGAGCCCGTCGAAAGAACTCCTTTAATGCGCCTTACGTCGGGTGACATCGATGACTTAGACTGAACTTGCCTGCTCCTAAGCGGAGTTGGATTAGCGCTCAAACAACAACAACAACATATCCTCATTATAGGAGAAGCAAAGAGTGAAGTTCATAAAAGTTTAGAGTGCCGAAAATTGTTGATCTTAGATGGATTGGGCTTTCTCCTTAATCTAAAAATACACATTTGAGTTGCGTTGAAGAACACCGGTTTTTATGTAAGAGTTGGCGTTATTGTCCATTGCACTAGTGTTACGTGTCGCATCATGTCATACTATACGGCGCTGAAGACGGGTTTATTCGCGCCAAAACTTTGTCTTTGACAGTTTTTCGATTGATTGACTCAGTACGTTGTGAGCGCTCGTCAAAGATGGACACCAGCAAGGAGAATATTCGCTAATTTTTACAATTTTTCTTCGATCAAGGCGAAAAAGCATGGCGGTCGTTGAAAATTGCGATAAAATCATGGAAATAGTGGAAACAGACCGTAACGTGAGCATTTATTTACTTGCTGAGGAACTAAAGATAAGTCAGAAAACCGTTTAGAACCATTTGCATGACCTTGGATTCAAAAAGAAGTTCGATGTTTGGGTGCCAGACGATCTAATGCAAAAAAACTTGATGGACGTTTCTGAAGCGGATTGTGACTTGCGTTGGAAAATGGGTGACTTACGACAACATCGAGCGCAAACGATTGCGCTCAAAGCTCGGGGAAGCGGCCCAGACGGTGGCCAAGACCGGATTGACGGCCAGGAAGGTTTTGCTGTTTCTTTAGTGGGATTAGCAAGGAATCATCTAGTACGAGCTGCTCTCCTATGGTCAAATGCTCAATTAGGCCCTCTACTGCCAACAAATGGAACGCTTAAACGCAGGACTCATCCAGAAGAGGCCATCTTTGATCAACAGAGTCCGAATTGTGTTACATCAGGACAACGCCAGGCCGCACACGCCTTTAGTGACGCGTCAGAAGTTCCAGGAGCTCGGATGGGAGGTCCTGATGCACCTATCTTGGCACCAAGTGATTACCACGATTAATGGTGAGAAGTTGGCCTCAAGAGAGGCCTGTTAAAATTGGCTCTCTGAGTTTTTTGCCAATAGAAACGCAGCCTTCAACGAGAGGGGACAAACGTACACAAAGTTATCATATTTTGAAAAATCAATAAAAAAAACCGAACGAACCTTTTACTTGACCAATTTACTACATATTTGCTTACTTTTCGTCCTGTAAATAGAGATTAATTATTTTTACAATTTATAATTTATTTATTTTTCGGTTTCGTCATAATAAATAATAAATTTTTAGCACTACATAAAACAATAACATACGAATATATATATGTATAATTGTAACAACAAATTTAATACACTAGAGTCCGGAGAGATAAGAATATCTTTGGTTACTTTCAATAAATTTTAAAAATAATGTTAATTAAGTACATGTCTAAAACTTCCTTCGAGTAGCTTAATACATACATACATATAAAGTACATTATCAAATAAATGTGTTTAGACTTTGGAGAGACTACTGTAGCACCGTTTTTAATTCTGTCGAAAATTTTTCAATTCGGTAAGCATTTAAACGCTAGTCGAGCGACAGTATCGATGTGATACTGTTCCTGTCTCTAGGTAAGAGATGAGGTCCACCCAAATAGCTTATAGGATTCCAAAATTGTCGATGGGCATCATCGATGTAGGCGGGTTTGACTTGAAGATGAGGATTAGGTTTTGTGCGGAAGGGTGTAACTGGCACGTTATCAATTTCAGTGGGCGCGGGAGGCAACTCTTTGCTGGCCGGAATCGTTGCTGGACTGGATGGTTTTCCACTGCTAGTTGCCGACAACATGGGGCTCGTTTCGTCAACGCCATCGAAAGTATGTAAATCATTTGTATGCTGCTCTTTGAATGTATTGGCATCATTTTGGTTGTCACCATCGTTAAGCGATGGGAAATTCATAGACGGCGTTAATCGTTTTTTCGGTTTGGGAGTCGTAATTCCATAGGGTGGACTGGTTGACTGCGCTGGCTCGTAGGATAATACCTCTCTCTGCGGTATGCCAGTACTTGGTTTGCTCTCACTGTCTACTGGGGTAAGCTGTCCTTTCTCTCGCGATATCTGTGTGGGTGTCGTGGAAAGGGGGAATAGGAAGTTAACGTTTCTTTTGAAATAGAATTTTGAAATATTTATGTTTTGTATAGAGACATGAATTTTGAATGTTTGGGAAGTGCACAAGAAAATTGAAATGAAAAAAGAAAAAAATTATTAAATTAGATAAAAAAAAATAAATACACACTGTCATTAATAACACATAGTATAGACGGTACATAACACATAAGCGGCAATAATCATAAAAACAATGAACGAAGCGATCTGAAATTTGCTTTGGAGGCATCAAGATTACTTACTTTCTTATACACGTATATAATATTTAACCCATCGAGAAAGATTGACATACCCACGTGCTTATATATTTTAATGTTATCAAGGTCCCATTCATGTAGGATCCAAAACGATGATCTAGGCTTAATGTCCAGAGTATACAAATACACTTCTCCAACCCATGACGATAGAACAGACGTTCCGCGACCCCACTATGATAAAGTCTCGACTGAAGAAGAAATTCAAATCGATGGAAGACGTTGGTCTACCGGTCGATTTATTCAAATAAGATGTCGAAGAACTGACAAGGTGCATACATTAGTTACTTTGTAGAATATGAAAGGATATCAGACGATTGAAAATGTGCTCTGCCCAATTTACAAAAAAGACATCATATAATACCATGCTTAGGGTTATACCGCGTGAATTGTGTAAAAGACTAAGATTCACAGTCAACGCACTGATTGGACCTTATCAGGCAGGCTTCAGACGTAGCCAGATATTCACCCTGGACTAAATCTTGGAAAATATCAGTGAGTAATGGATCGACATGCATCACCTCGTCGTCAATTTTAAAGCAACCTTTGATAGCATGGAAACGAGCTGCTTCTATGCCGCTTTGTTTGAGTTTTGTATTCCCGCGCTGTGTAACGCCCCGCCAGAACTAGTATACCACTTGCTACTAAGCCAGGTTTCAGGGAATGTGACTTTTGACGCTGAAGAAATTAATGCCAGCTTCAGAACCAAACAGAGAGGGTACAATCACCTAAAAGCATACAACTGCTAGCGTTTACTGACAATAATACTGATTACAATGAGCTCAACGAGCGCCATCAGTTCTGCTTTCTACAAAACTTTATAAGGAAGGGAAGCCAATGGGTAAAGTAGTGATGGAAACAAAAAGAAAATAAATAAAGAAAATATATATGTACATACAACACATATGTCACGGGTGGTCCAAGTAGAGGTATTTCGTTCAATAGCCCTTTTTTAACAGATCACCCGTGAGTCGTGTCAAGCGGTCATGTCATTTTGGTTCAGTTTTGTTTGGCATTTCATCATGGAAATACTTACGCATGAACAACGTTTACGAATCGGTCAACTTTACTACGTAAATTTGCGTTCTGTTAAGAATATGTTTTGCGAGCTTCGTCCCAATTATGGTCAACATCGGCCTACTGAGCGTACTATTCGCAACACCATCACCCATCCTGGGACCCAATATTCTTTATTGGATAATATTTTCGGTCAAATAAACCACGTCCAGCACGTAGGGTAGAAAATATAGCGGCCGTAGTGTACATAGAGATCATGGAGAGACCTTCGCAAGAACTCATACTATCTGGACCGGACTGGAATGACTTGGTGTATTTTACGTCGAGATCTTAAATTGAAACTAGAACTGAAGACGATCGACCTACCTACAATCGACTTCCCTTTCGTTCTGTGGGTTCTTGAAAAGTTCCAAGAATATCCGACGTTTTCGAGCCAAATTTTGTTCCGCGATGAGACCCATATCTCGCGCAACGGGTAAGTAAACAATTATCGCCTTTGGGACGAAGAGCAACCTAAAGAGATTCAAGAGCTGTCATTTCATCTCTAAAAAAAAAACAACGGTTTTGTGTGGTTTGTGGGCCGGTCCGTCAATAGCGACCATTATTGCGCCATGAGAACCGAAAGTGAAGCTCGTGATCTCGGTGACATTTGATTTCAACACACATCGCATCAATCAATGGATTTATTGATATAACGCTTCTGTCAGCTGATAATTTCCGTTTTGGGCCGATCGATTGCTCACCAAGATCGTGTGATATTACACCGTTAGACTTTTACCAGTGGGGATATATAGAGTGAAAAGTCTCTGCGGATAACCCCGCTTTGATTCAGACTTTGAAGCAAAGTATCATGCGTGTCATTCGACAGTTACCAGTCGGAATGCTCGAACGAGTAATCGAAAAATTAACTCAACGGATGAACCATCTTAGACAAGGTCGGGGCTAAAGTTTTGAAAAAGATAATCTTCAATAAGTAAATGCCAAATAAAGTTGTAATGTGAATAATAAAAAATATTCATTATTAAATTTTAATTTTCTGTGTAGTTTCTGTTTATATGAATATCTCGACGAATTAAACCAAACTCCACCGATTGGGCACAGTACTCACTAGTGCAGACGCAGTGGAAGACCCCCAACCCGTTGGAAAGTTTAGCGAGAGAGTAGCCTGGTTCCACTTAGTGTCTCCAATTAGTGTCGAACATATAAAAGAAAAACGACTGCATAATCCCGGCTATAATCCCGTAAGAGCCTACGTCAATTAAGAAGAAGTAGAGGAAGTGTTCTCAATGCGTGTCCATAATGGAGAATTAAGAGACACATGTATCAATATGTATGTATGTACCACAGTATAACAATATTTACTAACATATCTTAGTAGTTTTACATTACTTTTATGAAAATTATTATAATTATTTAAAAATAAAGTGAGTCTTGCTCAAAAGGCCTTTGAAGTTCATTCGAATGGGCGAACTAGCAAAATGCGCATGCATGTGTTATATACAAGTAATATGTACTCATGTGTGCTTGTAATTCAAACGACACTTTGCCGTCAATATAGAAATGCTTTCATCACATTGAAGCCCCAAAAACATTTTTAAATGCAACTCAAGGTCTTCTTGTGCAGTGCAGCAAAGAAGTGAATACCAAAAAAAGAATACCATTATATCACTTGAGAAAGCCTTTGATCTTTGAAGGTCAGCTTTTGTACATACATATGTAGGTGTGTGTGCGACAAGGACAACATTTGATGTAAAACAGACAAATTGTTCAATGTTAATGCTTTCACTTTTCTATTTAATATTAAAAGCTTTGTAATACTTATTATATGTGTGTAGGGTATGTGTATCGGGTGCAGGCATATTTCAAATTTGGTTACGTAAGGGTTGGCTATACGAAGGGATGAACAAAAGTTCGGTAAATTGAACAGGAAGAAATTTTTTTTGTATTTATTCTTATTCTTTATTCTTTTTTATCTTCTCTTCATTATCGCCATTAATTTCAATGCCTTTCTTAAGCCTATAGATCCACTTCTGAATACAGTCTACAAAATCTTGCTTTTTAAGCTTATCAAGTTCAGCATTAACCGCATTAATTATCCTCTCGTTGCAATTAAAGACCTTTCCCTCTAATTTTTGCAAATAACCAGGAATCACAAGGTGCTATATCAGGAGAATATGGCGCTAGACTCATTTCTTCGATCCCAGAGACCGCAATAAAACTAAGCGTCATTTTAGCAGTGTGGGTTGGCGCGTTGTCATGATGTAGAAAGTAGCGTTGCAAATCCTCTTTCCTAATATTTTTGAAAACTTCGGTGTACCATTTTGCAATTACCGTCTGACCCTTTTCCAGTGGAATAGCAGCTACAATTTTAGATTAGATCGGGTGAAGTAAAATGACTTCATTACTTTTGTTGCTGATTTTTGATTCATGGGTGGGTTCTGTTTCTGGATCATTCTTATAGAACCAAGATCGTCACCAGATCGTCACCAGATCTTGGTTCTATAAGAATAATCCAGAAACAGAACAGCAATCCATCCACTTTACTGAAGTTGCTAGACCGACCATTTTCGAATTTGTTTAGGAAAAATTGTGCAAAATGCACTCGAGTTTTTTTTTACGATACAGCCATGGCGTTCAAACCTGTTTCATTAGCAACCATTTCTTGTATCAATCGTTGGTCTTTGTCAATTTTGGACTCCCCAAGAGCTACAGTAATGTCATCAGTGGAAAATTTTGGTCGACCTTCTGGGGATTCTACGTCTACGGAGTCTGTGTCCGGTAAAGAATCTTTGGAACCATTTAGAAATAGTCTTTAAAGATGGTGCAATCATTCCATATGCAACTGAACATTTGTATTGGCTATAAATTACGCCGAAACACGAAGAGAATCACATGGCTAATTTTTGTTTGATTTGGTGGTGGAATTTCGTCTACCTACGCTATATTGCATTTTCCCGTCTTTATTTTAGACGCTTGTTCTAAAATTTGAAATTAAGACTAATAAAGTTATTGTAAAGCAGATTTAACGAAAACAAATTGAAAGTCTCCAACTGACCGAACTTTTATTAATCCCCTATAAAATGATATATGTCCCTTGGTTTTGAGATATCATAGAGGATACATGCTTGTGCGGAGCTTACATCCCTTAGCCCCCGTGTAATAAAAATATTTCAATCGCTTTACTTTCCTGATCATCGGTCACCAGATTATCTAATTGGTTTCTATGTGTGTATCGTCCGGTATTGAAACTTTCTCTCAGTAATCGCAATTTTTCATAAAGTTTTCGAGCATTAGCCCTGACAGCCAACTTCATAAGCTCTTCATAACCTTGTAATTATTTTTGGCTACAAAACCGTCAGCTCTCGGTATCTCTTTCACTCTGCACGTCCACTATAATTCGTTAGTTCGCATTGTACCGGCTTTTTTCGACTTGGTCGAAAACCAATTGATGAGTTCTCTTAGAGAGTCGGAGTGCAAGGGGAGTAGCAAACAAGCTGCCTACGTGTTACGATTCCAGCTTCCTTGAAGCACAGAAGCGGGTGCGAGACTTCATTGAAATAAGTTACTGATCCAAGTGATAGCGTACGTAGCTTTAGACATTACATACATTTGTAGGTACGACGGTTTGGTCTCGGTCATAGGTGCGTTTTAGACGCTCATAAAAAGTATCGTTTGACATCG